ATAACTTTGAAGTTTCAAGTGATGCCATATTTCAAGAATCAGCACATTGCACTGGGACATTGTCCAACGCCTTATAACCCCTGACTCCACCATATGACAGACACGTGTCTTACAATAATTGATTGCAACATCTTCCGAACATAGTAGTAGAGCTTTGGATCAAGTTTTAGCAGTTTCCACTGAAGCTAACTACCAAAATAGAACTTTGATGAAGTCGCCCACATACTAAATGCCATAGCTGAGCATGTGCATTGAGTGTACGGTCTAAAGGTTTTCACAACTAGCTCCAATGCTGCGGGTACGTGTCTTACATTACTTGATTGCAACATCTTCAGAACATAGTAGTAGAGCTTTGGATCAAGTTTAGACAGTTTCTACCGAAGCTAACTACCAAAATAGAACTTTGAAGTCGCCCACATACTAAATGCTATAGCTGAGCATGTGCATTGAGTGAATGGTCTAAAGGTTTTCACAACTAGCTCCAATGCTGCGGGTACGTGTCTTACATTACTTGATTGCAACATCTTCAGAACATAGTAGTAGAGCTTTGGATCAAGTTTAGACAGTTTCTACCGAAGCTAACTACCAAAATAGAACTTTGAAGTCGCCCACATACCGGTACTAAATGCCACACATGTAGCTGAGCATGTGTATTGAGTGTACATGTATGCTCTAGTGTTTTTCACAACTTTCTCCAACATGAAGCCAAAAGTGATGTGGAATTTGTTGCCTGCTTTGTACAAAACATAGTGCTGAAGCAATGCACCTTGGGCACTTTTTACTGGTAATGTAATTATTATATTATACAGTGTTTGATGCCAACATAGCAAGCAATACTTCTATACTAAATGCGTATTCCACTGGGTATGGTCCAATGGCTTTTCACTTCACATCTAGCCACTGTTCTTCGTGCATTACTTGAATGCTTAGCCGGTCTCCGTGGTAATGAAGCTAAGAGCCACACTGGAGAAGTTTCTACTGAAGCTAACTATCAAAAATATAAAATTTCCAAGATGCTACTACACTGTATTACATCAAGTAGCTGTGTGCAATGCCACTCTGTTGAACACAGTAAGCAAAATCGAGTCACTAAAACCCTATTTGCCAGATATAAGCTGCTGAGACTGATAGCAGCTGTATGATCTGATATGGATGGCGGTTCCACACTGACCAGCACATGTACACGCGCACAGGCAGAAGAACACACAAGTAATACACCTAACGTTACTTCGAAGTACATCATGTAAATACAAGCGTATATACAAGCATCACTCCTGTTCTCCACAACTGGCAGTCCTGGGCCACTCCAGCTGGTCAGAGTGCAATAATTTCTGCAGCAGGCTTGACTTGGAAAGCTAATCACAACTGACATGGCTGCAACATGAGTATTACCAGCGCTTTTACAGTGCTACTTGTATTATATTCTTGTCAATCCATTGTGGTGCGGCATGGCACTCATTTTCAACAACCGAGTGTATGTCATTAGTTGCATATCCAACGCCAGCAGAAAAAGAGGGGGTGGAGGCAGATTCCTGCGCTGAACTTTTTTTGGCCGTGGACGCCGCACCCCGTCGGGATCTGCAATTATTATTTCGCATATCATAGTGCTGTAGTAACCGTTGTGTTGGCTTCGTCCATTGCTGTTGCCGTCCTGGAACCTTGCCTAGCTGTCGTACTGTCCCTGGTCGCATTGGCTTCTGTTTGACGACGGTTGAACTTTGAATCGAGAGGCTATTCTCAAGGTAAGAATGCTACGTTTCCCGAAACTGAATTGCGCGTCGAGTCTCTGCTCTTTGCGACTGATGTCTTCTTGCGCTGTGAAATTTTGTCATCGCAATCATGTAGTACAAATCCTGTATACCGCGTAAGTTAGTTAGTTAGTTAGTTAGTTCATGAGTTATGAGAGCAGTATGTTTCTGTGTAGACTCGCATGGTCTGTCCAAAGCTTGTTGAATGAATGACCGAGGTCGGAGAGGCGGAGGAGCGCAGATTTTGATTTTTTCCACGGGGCCGGCCTGGGTGGATCGGCGGCTCTCGGCGCATTGTCTTTTTGGACACGTGTACATTGAGACTGATGACGTCATCACTCCAGATGCTGTACATAATATACAGTAAGTTGCTTGTGGTCGCTCGACGTCATTAGAAGCGATTGTACCCTATTGTAGACGTGGCTAGAAGTTGTACAGAATTGTCTGGTCGGGCGAAACATGCAGCGTTGGCGATATGCCACGATAACCGCCGAATCCGGGCCCCAGATACACTTTAAAAAACTACATCGTCTTGAGTCGTTGAGAGTTGTATGTGCGCCATCTTGACGAACTCTCCATGATGGTCCAGGATTGAGCAGCTTGGAGAGGCTGTATTCACACAGCATAGCACGTGTGCGGGCGATCTCTAGCGCTAGCGGAGGTCGAAGGAACAGCAGCCGAACATGTCGGTTGCAAAATAATATCATACATACTGTGGAGATTGGATATAACGAATCAAATCGAGTTTAGCGACACAATTCTGTTGCCCAAGTCGTTTAGCAAGTCCTTTCTGTACATTATGGATCGGGTATAACGACCTCGAAAATAACGACAGATCGAATTTACTGAGACTTTTTTGGCGCCCGAAGACCTGAAAAACAGTGAATAGGTATGAGGTCAAGAGGCCAGGTTAGTTAATTAGGTGAACAGAAAATTTAGGTACAAAGAAGCAGTGCCCTTTTGGATTATGTGTGTTAGTGTTTATTTGGTTATTGACATTTTAGGTATGAAACAGATGAACTGAAAGTACCCGAAAATAAAAATAAATACACTGAAAATGTGTAAAACTACAGTTTGTGCTTTCCCTCATTCTTGTGTTTCTATGCGCAGTGTTGTAACTCGGCATGGCAGGTGAACGGGATTTGAGACCAAAAGGGCCAGTTGCGTACTATCCTGATCCTGTTCTGTCAAGTTTGATCAACGAAGGTTAGCTACCGCGCGCGCGCGCGCGCGCGTGTGTGTGTGTGTGTGTGTGTGTGTGTGTGTGTGTGTGTGTGTGTGTGTGTGTGTGTTGTTATCGAATTCCTTCACACTCAAGCACCCAAATACGGCTCCACACACTCAAGCACCCAAATACGGCTTGTTTACAGGAGTCTAAAAGGAGAGTAAAGAAGATCCACAACAGCCAGCATGATGCCGCGAGGTTCATGCCCTCACCGTGCATCAAAGAACCATAGCAAAAATGGCGCACAGCATGATCAGATCACATGATCATGATCTGATCAGCGATTCAAAGCGAGTGAACATCTTCTTCTTTACTTATAAAGAAGAGGCACCTGTGACGTGTGTTTGTGTGTGTGTCACGCAGAAGCGCTGCGGAGCAGCGCTGCCCTGATCGCGTGCGAACAGTGTAGCTAGCGGCCGCAGAAGCACTGAGCACTCGAAGCGTGCGAATCGTGTAGCTAGCGGAAGCAGCCACAGAAGAACTAGCACTGAGCACGCGAAGCGCTAGCGTGCGAATCGTGTAGCCACCACCACGTGCTGAGCACGCGAAGCGTGCGAACAGTGTAGGTATAGGTAGCAGACACGATCAGTACGAGTAGCAGTACTAGTAGCAGCCGCGCGCAGAAGCACTGAGCACGCGAAGCGTGCGAATCGTGTAGCCACCTAGCCACAAGATTATTGTGAAGCGCATCCAGCGACATGTAATTGAAGCTGAGATTTTGACTGGGTCGGGTGTAGGAGAACCGGTGTACATACCGAAAATACCCACGACATCCACCAATCTGCCATTCCAACTTCGACGTGTCCAGTTCCCACTCCGTGTCTGCTTTTGCATGACCATAAACAAGTCCCAAGGGCAGTCCCTGAAGGTTGTTGGTTTGGACCTAACAACACCATGCTTTGCTCATGGCCAGTTTTATGTGGGTTGCTCCCGGGTAGGTAATCCAGACAACCTTCACATTTTGTGCAATAACGGCAAAACGAGAAATGTAGTTTACCCGGCTGCACTACAGTGACTGCACGTCTGCGGGTGTGCCGCAGTAGTCAGTACTTTGCCGACGATTTGTTGTCATGGCTGACTAATCCCAATAACTGAGAACTATATTATGTGATTCCATTCACTCACCATGCTGCGCATTACTGTTCGCATTATTGTTCGAGGATGAAGCATCCCATCATTCCATATGCTGAACACAAGTACACTCTCTAATAACTGAGAACTCTATACGTGATTCCATTCACTCACCATGCTGCGCATTACTGTTCGCATTATTGTTCGAGGATGAAGCATCCCATCATCCCATATGCTGAACACAAGTACACTCTCTATGTCCAAGCTGCCACATGTACATGTACGTACATGTCTCAACATGCCTAAGGCACAATTAAATCCCAATAATTGGATGAGCCTTCACTATTGTAAATCTCAGTTCTATAAGTGCTGATAAACAACTACCCGGTCATGCAGTGTTACACAGCAATGATTATGTGCTGTTCATGTACTTGCTTCACCCGCATGCCACGTTCGGGCAACGCTGGCCGGGTGCTGCTACTTATACTAGAAGAGGCACCTGTGAGGTGTGTTTGTGTGTGTGTCACGCAGAAGCGCTGCGGAGCAGCGCTGCCCTAGGCCCTGACTCAGCACGCGAAGCGTGCGAACAGTGTAGCTAGCGGCCGCAGAAGCACTGAGCATGCGAAGCGTGCGAATCGTGTAGCTAGCGCCGTAGCGGAAGCAGCCACAGCTAGCTGAAGCACTGAGCACGCGAAGTAAAGCGTGCGAATCGTGTAGCTACCACCACGTGCTGAGCACGAGAAGCGTGCGAACAGTGTAGGTAGCAGACACGATCAGTAGTACGAGTAGCATGCTACTGCTATAGCAGTAGCAGCCGGCCGCGCGCAGAAGCACTGAGCACGCGAAGCGTGCGAATCGTGTAGCCACCTAGCCTAGGCCATAGGCATAGGTAGCACTAGCAGCCGCACAAGCGCTGCGGACCACGTGAACCGTTCTCTGCAACAAAAGGATACAAAAGATCTGCACTGACTGCACTCTGCATCTGATCTGCAGTGAAGAGCGCATCGCACTTTTGTTCGTAAGTTTATGAATGTTTTGAGCCGCTTCATCCGCCACCAGGTGATGGACAACCCTGACCAGCCTCCCGAAGGCGTAACAGACGTCCCTCCTTCTCCTTCCAACGATGAAGAACCTCCCTCACCAGGACTTCAGCGGTCTGGGAAAAGACGCCGCCGGTCCTCATCAATAACGTCGTCCGACGATCAAGAGGCCATTGCCCGCAGACGCGAACAAGCCAGGGTTCGAAAGCAGAGGGAAAGGTCAAAGGAAACTGAAGAACAGGCTGATCGCCGCAGACTTCTAAATCGTCGACAAACTGCTGCGACACGCTCTCAGGAGACGCATGAACAAACTCAAGAACGTAGAGACCGTAACTGCCGCCGAGCTGCTGAGGCACGTTCGCATGAGACACCTGAGCAGGCAGACCATCGCCGAAGTCAAAGCCGTATGCAAGTTGCCAGAGCGAGGTCACTCGAGACGCAAGGGGACACGGAGGTACGAAGAAGCCAAAATGCTCAGCGGGTGGGAGCACCCCCGGATGAAAATGCATCCGCCACAGGGCCAGATCCCCACGTACAGCCTATGGCCACTACGAGAGCAGGTGAGGGTACTGGTAATTTCACCCGTAACAATTACATACAGACCATTAAACCAGATATCTGGGGTAAACTGGGCTTCCATTACGACAGCATTTGGACTATCCCACTCACAGGTCCATCACATGTCCATAGTCATTAGGTGGCATGAACGTCCTGTGTAAGCAGCGTGCGAATCGTGTAGCTAGCGGAAGCAGCCACAGAAGCACTGAGCACGGCTGTCCGCGGCTGACCAGATTACAATATGGCGTCGTTCCACCGGGTTTTAGAGAAGTTTTGGAAACTCGATGCGAATCGGTAAATTCTTGTGAATAGTGACAAAACCAAGTTGGTTTTCAGTATGATTCGACACAAAAAACGCAAACAGTTGAAGATCGTTTGAAAATTTGAAAGAGGAGCATGATCTGGTGCTCCAAATGTTTTTCTTTGGAGCGTTGGAAATACAAAACACGAAGACAGACATTGCTGTCACCACGCTGTCTTCTTACCTGTTTACGAGGAGACTGGACCTTGGTCCTCGGCTTTCCTCTTCTGTGGACGAGGAGCCAGCGTACTGTCTTCTTTGGTGGTTGTTAGCAGATGCTGCTCGGCGACAACTTTCAGCCTGGCGAGGTCTCCTGGTATGTTTTTATAGATGGCGTTGAGGGTGTTGAGACTGGCGTGCAAGCTCTCTGCCCCTTGCTCCGCGAGCAGGCCCAGACCAACGCCAAGTTTCCTGATGAGCGGCACCGTATGATTCTCTAACAGGTGAAGTTTCGGCGTGATGTTTCCAAGTCGCCGTGCCACAACGTGTCGTCTGCACATACTCAAGAAGCGCCAAACTTCAGACTCCAGCTTATCCATCTCGTCTGCTGAAACTGCCTGGCTGTGACTGAAGATAGCTCGACAAGAAGCGTAGCTGTTCATCAGATTCTCGTGTAAAGATGCTATTGTTTGGGCCTCCTCCGCCAGGACTGGACACCTGGACGTGATGACTGGTACGTGAGCATGGCTGATGGCAGCGACCACGGTGGGCTTCAAGGCTTGGTGGACGTGATTGCCGATGAAAGCACCACCGTGGTACACTTGACGTTCAATCTTGTGGTGTTGGAGAACAGGCTCCACAGAGGCTACGCATGGGCCACTGAAGTCCTTACTGCGGCATAGCTTGGCAATTTCGTCCTTCAAGGCGTCGACAGTCGAAGTGTGTTGCTGGGTCTTCGTAACTGCTGCCTGACATGTTTGCTGTAGAGTAGTCACCAATTCCAGTAACGCCTGTTCCGCTTGGTTCTGGATGTGGAGAGCTACAAATTGCATCTGTTGTTGAACCATTTGCTGTTCGTTGACGGCTTGGTCAAGTTGCAACTGTGCGCAGCGGAGTTTCTCGTGGAGGGCACACAACTTGGTGAACGTACCAGCATCGTTGGTGTCAGCATTGCATTTCGAAGCAAGCTTCGAGTCCAGTTCCTGCAGGTCCTTCAGAAGGGCTTCAAACATCCATGTGTAGATGCCCAAGTCGAGATGCAGCACCGGGATGATTGCATTTTCAACGGGCACTGGCAATATGCACGGACGAATGACATTGTTATAGTGCTTTGCCTGTGATATCTGCGAGCCAGCTTCAGAAAATCTGCCGTAATCATCAGCCAATGTAGTCAGTGTGCGTGCCTGTCTATGCGCATCTGTTCTGTCATCACTTGGATTGGCCATCTCCTTCTTCGGACACAAACAGTGCAAGCATGGACGCAGTCCGCCAGAACCTGACAGCCCGTAGTTCATAGTCTGAAATTCGTAGTCGCCGAACATGTACACTCTCAGCTGCCTGCCGTTCCATACCGTGCTTTGCAAATGCTCAATCTGTGGAGCATACTGTCCAAGAGCAGTCTTCAAATTGGCCGGAGTGTCTTTCTCCTCGAATATGCACAGTGGAATGGTGTTGTGCGTTGCGTTCGGTGCTAGTACGTTGGCGATCTGCAAACTTAACTTAAAGTTGCCTCCTCCGTGATCACCGCCAATCTTGAGCCATACTTCGGACTGTGGAATCGTGCCTGAATGCCATGTCAAGCTGTCACTCTCATTGAGGATGTCGAGGAAGTGCATGACAACAGCGACAAGGTCCGGAAAAAATACAGTGGCAGCCATGGAGACATCGCCATTCCGCTTCGACATCGGCAGCTCTGTAGCGGTGTAGCTGGGCAGCGTCTTCGCGATGAACTCTCGTATAGAACGCTCAGACTCCAACTTTACTCCGAAGACCTTGAGCCACTGCCGCAGCTTCCTCAATTGGCTCCATGGCAGTCGGAGGTCTGCCTTGATGGCCAGCGCGGTGCCAGGCGAAGGTGAACTACACTTCAAGCCAGCTTCCTGCAAGAGCTCCTCCTGTGCAGCTGATGAGAGCCGCTTCAGCCCAGCAATCATTTGCACTCGAGCTCCATCCGATCCACCACAAACGGACTCAGCAATTCGGGTCAGCTCAGCAGCGCGGCGTTTGAGTGTTGAGGCAGACGCATCGGTTGACGGTACACTGCACTCTGGTGTTAGCTGGTAAACTTGCGGTTTGCCCCTGCCTCCCTCGCCAGTTTTCACCTCCAGCCTGCCACCCTCTGCCCTAGCCGTGACCAGACGTGCAGTGAGGTTGGTTGCCACATTGCCCTTCAACTTCGACGGAGAAGCACTTAGAACCTCAGCCACTGTTGACGATGGGCGCACTGAGCGGATAGGTGTCGTGCTCGGCGGCGGGCTACGTGCTGTGCTACATGATGGCGTCTCTGCGGGATTGAACGGGCACATGTTGACATGACGTTGCAAGTCATGCAGCGGCACGACTTCAGGACATCCACGTAGCGATGGCTCGTGGAAGTCGCAGTGTATGGACTGGCTGCTGACAACCCTGGCTAGACTAATGCTGGGCGTGCGCATCGATGATGCAGCCATGTCAGCGCTGCAAGACTTGCATGTGTTATTCGTGCTGAGCCATTCGCTTATGCACTCTGCACAACTCAGCTCATTGCAGCATGCTGTTTCCAGGATACCGTCTGCGGCATTCTGACAAATGATGCAAATTTGCACCGCATTTCTGTCCAAAAATCTGTCCCTGTCAAGCGGCAGTATTGCACGATGTTGTCGCGCTGCTCTGGATTGTATGCATTCTGCACTGATATCTAGACCACTTACACTGCTGCCGGCTGCGTGTGCAGGTGATCCATCATCACTCTGGTGGCTGGGTGCTGTCAGGAGTGCGGCACCTCGCAATGCTGTTTTTGGTTTTGCATGGTGCGCGCTTGCGCCCCTTTTTTTCTGGCTTGCACACACAGAGCAGTTTGTGCGATGGTGTGGCTCCCATTTGGTGACAGGTCCACAGCCACCTCCACAATGTTCTGCCTTTCTACTGGCTCTCTTTAGGGCTCGCTCGCACAGAATACAGATGTATGGTGGGTGGATGTCTGGGCAATCTTTCGAGATATCAATGCCATGTACAGATTTCAGCAGATCACTATATTTTTCCACACTATATCTGGTAGACTGCTTGAAACAGGAAAACTTTCTGCCACCGACTCGGCAGACTTCTTGCAGCAGCGATTTATGCTCATCCATGATCACTCTACGTCCTCACAACAACTGGAGAGTAACACAATTGCAGTTACGATCCAGTAAGTGTGGGAAATACCAAAAGTGTGGGAATATTGCAAACGCAAGTCACACGGAATTGATGCACGTCACGGAACGAAATTTTCTACAGCACCAGAACGGACACTTACCTACCCGATTCCAAATTATCTAAACGATACTCAAATCTGGGGATACTATTTGGGGCACAAACGTTGGCTCAAATTCTGCACGACGAACGTCCCAGGAGAGGAAAACAAACGTCCTCCAGAGACAAGGAAACAAATCGAAGCAGTGGTCGCGCGGCATGTACGCGGAGCTGAGGGAAAGGCAAAGCTGAAAAATCGAAAACTCAGGGCAAACCAAGCTGATTGGAGACGAAAAGTGGCGAAGTCTGTGGAATACTTAGCTGTCTAAAGCAATTCCTGGACGAAAATCATGAATTTTTACGCGTTCTCGGCCGCCATATTAAATGGGCCAAAATCGCGCAAAAAAACAGCCGTGTGAGCACGCGAAGCGTGCGAATCGTGTAGCCACCACCTGAGCACGTGTGCTGTTCATGTACTTGCTTCACCCGCATGCCACGTTCGGCCAGGCAAAGCTGGCCAGGTGCTGCTAGTATGATACTAAATTATGTGAATCTTTCGAAAATCTACGATGTGAAAACATCGTACGTTTAGAGAATTTGAACAAGATCGAAGGGGAAGAGTGATTCCTTTGTAATGAACTGCGAATCATGCAATTCCATTACCATGTGTGTGCGGTGTGTGTGCATGTGTGTGCGTTTGGGTTTGGGTTTGGGTTTGTGTGTGTTGTGTGTGTGTGTGTGTGTGTGTGTGTGTGTGTGTGTGTGTGTGTGTGTGTGTGCGTGTGCGTGCGTGCGTGCGTGTGTGTAGGTGTGTATAGGTGTGTGTAGGTGTGTGTGTGTGTTTAGGTGTGTGTGTGGGGGGGGGTGTTTGCGTGTCTGTGGGTGCGTGTGTTGCCGCTGCAACACAACGTGAGCAAAGATAAGGTAGACTAGTCTCTTACGGACAGAAACCTCGCCAGCTGTTCTAGCCCATTGCGCATAGCCAAAATAATATGGAAGGTACGAGTAATGCATGTGAGTACACTGGCATCAGCAATGCACTGTTCACTGTTCAACACCCCAGGCGACCATGCCCAGGTGGCTGCGTGGGGTGTTCATGGTACAAATTACGTCATTAATGGGCATATTGTTTGTTTCGCTGTGTCTGTGTTTGCAGCTAAGCACGTGTCGACGATGACTGCCCCTGAGCTCCAACACGGCAAGCGTAGTCACCACCAGCAGCAGCAACAGCAGAGTAGTAGTAATGGCACGTGGACAGGGCCCACTGAGCACACGTCCGAGCGACGCAACAGCGGCAGCAGCAGCAGCGGCAGTGGCGGCGGTGCCTCGACTGCCGCCAACGGCCGTGGTGTGCGCGCGACGGACAAGCAGAGCAGCGGCGGTGGCCTGCTGTCGCCCGATGGACAGCGACGCAGTACGTAAACACAACCCTTGTACATGTACAGTGCGTATCGCCTATAGGGTTGGCAGCTACTGTATATTAGTGAACGGGCTAGGTAAAAATGGTGACTTAGGACCCGACCCGTTCACTATATTATTATTTTATTAAGCAGAAATATTCGTCTGAATTTAATTTCGCCTTTTCGTCCAAGGAGCTTTTGGACTAAATTAAATGCCGGACTAATGTCGATTTGCCCAGCTTTTCAATACACTCTTGTGATCCGTGGACGAAATTTCCACCCGGACCAACTCCCTTTCTTTGGAGTTGGACGAAATTATTGACCGACGAAATGTTCTGGCTGTACAGAATCAAGAGTACATAACCCCCCAGAGTGTGCAACGCCTGATCCAGCTCTGCATAGGGTCTTGGTCGAGCGTAATCGGATCTTTGCGTCATAATACCGTACACATCTGAGGGGAACCCGGGGAGTCGCGGGTACTCTCGGATCAAAAACAATGGTGCCCTGCCTCGAGACCGGCCTTGCGCTGGTGTGGAGTGTACGCATGACATCAGAAGATCCGATTCCGCTCGACCAAGACCCTATGGAAGAGCTGGGTCGGCGTTGCACACTCTGGGGGGTTATGTACTCTTGACAGAATGTAGTAAAATACCGGCCTTTAAGTGATCATTCATTTCCATTTTATACCATGACTATGATCAAGAGTACATAACCAAGAGTGTGCAAATCGACGATCCCCCAGCCCACGGCGGAAATTTTTTATGACATCAGTCTTTGGCGGCTGTTTGGCTCGCTGATGCCATCATGCGTAGCGAGAGATCAAAGTACAAAGAATTTGTACATCACAGCTACGGTAGTCGAAGCAGAACAACGGACGATAGATCGATGTGTCCTGAACCTGGTGAACTCTCACCGTATTTACAAAAAATGTGCGGGAAAGCATACGCACTTGATCATACTTCTGCCAAAGAACGATGCAATACAAAAAATCAAGCACTCTTCAGCCTCGGGCAGTTTGCCAGTTTGCCAAACCTTTTCTCTATAAACTAGAGAAATGCATGTGTATGTGTGTTCATGTGTGTTTGACTGTTCGCACTTATGTGTATGTGTGTGCATGTGTATGCATATGTGTGTGTTTGTGTGTGTGTTTGTGTCTGCGTGTGCATGTGTATGCGTGTGTGTTTGCACGCGTGTGTGTTTGCACGCATGCGTGTTCGTCTGCACGTGAACAGACGAGCCGGTCGTGCGCTTCAAGCGCAAGTACGCCGGCCAGCAGCTGGAGGTGACGTGCAACGGGCAGCGCGCCATTCTGGACGTGGACAACCTGCCCGATGCCGTGGGTTCCATGATGCACGCCAAGCGCCAGTGCGTCGAGTACAACGGGCGCATGATGACGCCCACCGAGTTCGAGACGGCCACGGGCTACGGCTCGCGCAAGAACTGGCGCAGCAGCGTGCGCATGGGCAACCAGTCCATGAAACAGATACTGGACTCGCTGTGCAACGAAGAGTTCTCCTTCAATGTAGACTCCGAGGTAAGCTTCCACAGTCACTGGTTTTAAGGACTGCAGTTGCCATGCATACTGATTCAACACTGCAGTTTATTTTTGTTTATTTTTTTCACCTTCCCATGGGCAGGGAATAGAGGCCAATATGGAGGGAGGGGGTAAGTGCGATGGATATTGGTTAAAGACTGCAGTTGTCATGGATACTGGTTAAAGACTGCAGTAGAATGGTTTCTGGTTGCCGTACTAGCCTTGTTGTAGGACAGGTATTGTAGTGAAATGCTACCCAATGGCCAATGGAGCTTTACACTTGGTTCAAAATCTGGTAACGTATTAAAAAGAATGAAGTTTGCACATGCTCGTCACCACCGATGAATTTGTTTCTTCTGCCTTGCCGTGTGTGTGTGTGTGTGTGTGTGTTTGTGTGTGTGTGTGTGTGTGTGTGTGTGTATGTGTGTGTGCGTATGTGTGTGTGTGTATGTGTGTGTGTGTGTGTGTGTGTGTGTGTGTGTGTGTGTGTGTGTGTGTGTGTGTGTGTGCATGGATGTGTGAACATGCGTGTGCAGCAGCGGAAATCGGCGTTCAGCCCGGCGTCCACCTCCACTCAGAGCCAGAAGCACCAGCGCTCCTCCTCGGTCAGCACGGCTAGCAGCGTCAAGTCCCCCGTCGCTCATAGCAACGGTGTAACTCAGTCGTCGGCACCGTGTACCCCCGCCCAATCAACGCTGGCCACCGTGCTCACCTCGTTCTCCAACGATCACCTGCAGAGACGAGTTCAGACCATAGCCGTGCCCAGCAACGAGAACCCCAGCGCCAGCATGTCCGTTTCACCGACGGTGGCGGCGATACGAGGTGGTTCGCCGCACGCCTACGCCCCGTTGCCAAGCTCCTCGGCCCTGCCGTCATCACGACAATCGTCCCCGCCCTCATCCCGCGCTCCGCAGCAGCAGCAGCGATCGCGCGAGGGGAGCAACGGGACGGCGCTGGGCAAGCCGGCCGGCCGCGCCCACGGCTCTCTATCGCCAGGGCAACGCGACCGGCATCACGGTCACAATAGCAAACGCTCTCGCTTCTCGAAGACGGGCGCGGCCGAGAACGGCCTTCCGGACCTGATTCCGGCTCGTTCGGCTCAGCGCACGCCGTCTAATGATTACTTCTCTCCCCAGGAGTCTTCTGCTGCTAGTTCGGACAAGTCGTCGCGATGGCCAGGTGTTGACCTGAAGAGGTCCCCGCCGATCAGACTCGAGTACAGCACAGGTAGGTGCGGAGGCTCTGTTACCATGGGAACAACTAGCTACAAACAAAATTAATTGTCTTGTATGACTTTACAATAGGGCTTGGACTTTGAAAGTGCTATATGGGTCAGCCAGCCCAGAGTCATGGCAGCGCTGACTTTTCGATCCACTTGGATCCATGTGTTTATATGGATGATGCAGGTTTGGGTGGTTTCCGTCGACAGTAGGGTGACACATCCACCGGTAGTAACTTGCCTGGGCGCTCCCACTCATGGTACAGACAAATTCACACCAACATGCGGCACGAGGGGCCAACCCACCCGTATACGGTCAGACCTCGCTTATCCTTTCCTCGTTTATCTGGATCCCTCGCCGTCGGGAAGAAAATCGCTGGTTACAGATGTACAGCATATTCAACATAACCGGTGTTCGGTTATCCGGTTCCCTCCCCCTATCCGGATACAGTAGGTATCGGTTATAGCGTGGGTGTTTGAAAAACGACATTTGATTCTTATTCCCGATATTTCTTACACACGATAAATCACGTGTTACATATCATAATGCACGTGTGACAAATATCATATGCACGTGTGACATATATCATATGCACGTGTGACATAATCATATGCGCATGCGCGCATTGCGCGCACGTTGGCATGTGGACACGTACACATGATACACACGGATCATACTCGCGCGGTCGACCGGTCGTGCTAGGCGACTACAAATATAGACTGCGGAGCAGCAGATACGAGAGAAGTCGGAAGAAAGAGTCCGACTGGACAGAAAAAGTGATTCTCCAATGCTCCCTTGGACATAACTCTCTTTTTGTGTTGAATATTATTGTATTGAGTATGCACAGAGCACAGATGTTATTACTACAGGCGATACACTTTGCACTAATCTGGCATATTTTGCTGCATAAAGCCCATTCTTAGGGCCGATATATTCTACTATGCGATAATACTGCTTGTAAGAATAAATATACACATAAAATAGGTGTTATGATTATGAAAAAATGAGTGTTCATTCTTGTAGGCAGTATATTCTTGTATACGACCACACTATAACCGATACGCACTGTATTTGAGTGGAAAGCGGATGTGTGCGGTTAAGCGAGGTCTGACTGTACTCTATTTTACGACAGGCAGAGCGGATCCAGTTTGACCCCGAAGTCGTTATTTGTTGACTTCTGACATCATCGCGTCCAAGCCCATATGATGCTTCATTTTGTGCACAAAACTCTGAGTGTGTTGAAGCTGTGCCCTGGTCCTTGAGGGGGATGATGTTCCTTTCGATGCGGAAAATTCAGTCTGATGAACTCTTGCGCGAGTCGTAGTTTGGCTTCTCTGAAATGTTGTTATCTCTGTACGTGTGTGTGTGTGTATGTATGTGCATGTGTGTGTGTGTGTATGTATGTGCATGTGTGTGTGTGTGTGTGTGTGTGTGTGCGCACGCTCGTGTGTGCACGCATACATGCGTGTCAATATGCTGTACGTGTGTCTAGATGCGCGTGAGGACGGCATGTCCATCACAGTGTCTGCAGAGCCGGAGGACGCGGATAGCAATGCACAGCTCTACATCATGGAGCCCGGTCCAAGCCACCAGATCGTCACGCCAGTTCATATGCACTGTAAGTTTGTCAGGGGCGTCGCACACGGTGCCGTCACTACGGTATTGACCGTACCACTATTCGCCCCAGGTACCCCGTGAATCAATAGAATGTACTGATTTGGGCTCTGAATTTCCAAAACATTTGGCTCAGCCACCCCTCCCCCACGAGTAAATTGTACTTCCGATGGCTGACCGTACCACACTAAAATACCTTCCGACGCCCCTGTTGGTTATGCCGTGGTGCACAGCAATCAACGGGAGGATGTGGCTGTGGATGTGGCTGCGGATGTGGCCTGCACCTGACAAGCCTCACCAGCACTGTTGCAAAGCCGTTGACTATTTCTATGGTTCATCAGTGTGCTCTTTAGTGCTGCGCAACAGTTTCGTACCAGTTACGCAACTCTTTCATTCTCAGTCAGGAGCTTACAGTCCTTTTCAAAAATATAGGCGCATGGCATTTTTGAAATATTTCAAATTTGGCTGGAGCTTTTCGAGTTCTTTTTTCGGAATATTGCTCAGGCCCTTCCTGCAATTAATCCCATAATAGATTTCCAAGCGATCGGATAGCAAACACCCAATTTCCAATTTTTTTATGCACAAAGTGATCACAGATTGTATGTGGTATAGATGCTGGCCTAACGGTTTTTTTGAAATCACACGTCTATATTGTAGGAGAACACAATCAGTCATGATAAGTTACACAACACCCGAAGTGTATGCAGATGCACAGGCTTGTACGAATTGTCATTGCTGGAGTGCTGATCCAATGCCTCGTCAATTAACACACTACATAATTATTGCAGCAGACGGGCCATGAAGGCCCGTGATACCGAAGTGTGGTGTTGTACGCTCCCTGTGTACTGCACTCAGTGCACATTCTGTCTGTGTAATCATTTCCTGAATGTTGCAGTCACTGGCTGACCAGTTTTTTTGCATATTTTGGACAGCAAATTGTCTCAAAATAGTGACTGTGCTCTTCCTGGTGCACGTGTGTGTGTGTGTGTGTGTGTGTGTGTGTCTGTGTGTCTGTGCATGTGTGTGTGTGTGTGTGTGTGTGTGTGTGTGTGTGTGTCTGTGTCTGTGCATGTGTGTGTCTGTGCATGTGTTTTTATAGCTCCCCCGGAAGCGCTGTCGTCGTCATCGTCGCCATCACTACACGAGGACATGATCGTCGGCCGTAAGTTCCCCGCCGGCCACCCGCACACGTGGACCTGTCACCAGGTGGCTCTCTACCTGCGCTCCTGCAACATGGCCGCCGCAGCACGAGCCTGCGAAGCCGATGAAATCAACGGGCGTGCTCTCCTCCACCTGCGTGAGGAGCACATGCTAAACCGCTTCCGCTTAAAACTGGGAACGGCGCTGAATCTCGTCGAGCTGATCAAGCAGATCAATCTCCATTTCTTTCCGGCAGCGAGCAAGAACGGCTGCTAACGATAGCCATGGCCCTGGCAACGATCACGTGTCATGTAAGAAATGGAAATCCGGCCGCACGTCTAGCGGCCCCAGGGCGCTGGCCATGTAGCCGTGGGTAAGCAGTACACACATGCATGGCTGTATTATTATGCGCTGCTGGTCGCATCGGATCAACATGTGCACTGCATGCAACGTTCTGTATGCGCTGAGGACGCCGGTCTCGGTCAATCGATTGGATGTCCATGTCCACGACAGTAGTTCATGCAGGGATGGGGCATGGCTGTCATGCGAAGCCGTTTGTCATATTAACATGTACACCTTTCTCACTGTTATGACTGCTTCGAAGTACACTGTCTTGTACACATGTACCTCTCTTATCCGGACCTCAACGTTTTAAGGGCATCTCGATATACTGGGTACCCTGCATGCGGGTGAGGTTCAGTGTAGATAATACTACTCTTTTGCCACTTTTTGTGGAAATAGTAACGTCATGGCCGATCTCTGGCCCGGCCCCATCACAGTCACGAACCTTTTCAAAGTGATGGGCAGTGCCGGGATACGAGAGGCACGCGTGTATACACTCATTGCCGAAGATGCGTTGCCATGGTGCAAAAATGGCGTTGGATGGCTACGCCTGAGCGCTCGCGCTGTCATCGCAGCCCACGAGACGTCTTCCTGCTGTGCTTTCTTGACAAATTATTTTGTTTCGCTTTGTCCTTGTTGCTGGAGGGTTTGATTCTTTGAGATACTGTAGAGCGATTTGGAGTTGGTCAGCCGAGAGTAGTCGTGAGAAATGGAGAAAGAACGTGAGAGAACCTGAACTGCGGATAAAGTCGCTCTGTTCCAGCGGAGGCGAGCAGAGAGTTACGATCTCAGTGCCCAGGCACGTCGCTCCTGATTATTTCGAGTGGCTCGATGTGCAAGTGGCACTCGAAACCAGCGCTGTGCAGAGTACCGATGTTCCTGCCAGTGTCGCTGCTTTAGCCGGGCTGGCGCTGGCGTCTCCAGTGCAAGCAGTAGCTAAAACCATTCCTGAACCGGTTCCAGTCAAACAAACTGTCGCTGCAGCTAGTGTTGGTGTTGTTTCTTCGCCTTCAGTGTCCGTGGGGTCAGCCGCAGTGGAATCTGGCACTGACAGCCAACCTGCCAAGAAGCGGAAAAGAACTTCAGGCAAGGGCTACTACTGTGCTGTTCCGCTCTGCAGTAATCGGTCTTTAGATATGTCACTTGCAATTCATCGTTTTCCCAGTGATGCAGAAAGGTGCAAGTTATGGCAATTTGAAATTAGGAGGGATGTGGGATCAAATTTCAAGATCACATCAAACACCAGAGTATGCAGCTCTCATTTCAAACAAGATGATTACGTCGGCAAGCTCCTGTCTGGTGAGGAGCCAGAAAGAAAATGGCTCAACCCCACCGCTGTGCCAACCCAGTTCCAGTGGACGGCAAGTCCTAAACCAGCGAGACGAGTTCTGAAGAGAAAACGTCAAGAGTCTGAGGAGCCACAAGATATTGATGATTCCGGGGTCGTTTCTGTGGTGTCTGATGTCTGTTCGGCTATTGACCCAGCACCGACCCCTGGTCCTGTGCAGGGTTTGCCATGTGATCACAGATATATCAGTGTAAGTGACCCGAGTGAAGTTGATGATCACATGGCTGGCCTAGAAAAAAGACTTCAGTGAAATTAAAAAAGAGTACGAGAGCCTGAAGTGTCGTTCGATCGATTTAGCCAGCATCAGAAACAATCCTGACAAGTTCAGGCACTTCACCGGGCTGCCTAACTGCGCAGTGTTCTCTGCCCTGTTCAAATACCTCGAACCCAAAGCCAAGAGGATGCAAACTTGGCGCGGCCTATCTACCCTTAGACATTTGTATGCCACTGGTCCTCAGCGATGGCCATTAGACGTTTCACCGACACTGGCTGACCATCATCATCACAGAATATGAATTTGTTCCAATAAATACTGCGTGAATGTGAAAAAGATTGTTACATATATTCCACCTGAAATACAAGTTCTATCAACCAACCAAGTATTCCACTTAGCTCAATCTGTGCATTCAGAAATGATTTGTTCCAGTAATAATCTAACATCAGTCCGAAGTTATTATTCAGAAATGTCCAGTGTCTGCTCTAGGACAGCCGGGTACACGTGTACCTGGCGCAACCATTTCAACCGGGTCGGAGCCGGGTACACATGTACCTGGCGCTGTCTCACCAGCCGAGTCACGTGCTTTAACTGGTTGGTTGGTTTATTTTAATTCGGACAATAAACGGGAACTAGGCCCAATGATATAAAGGCGAATGGATAAGCCGCATTTAGAAAAGAGAGGACAGGAATTAGAAAATTACGAAGGAAGAAGAAGTATCTGACACATACAAGCAAGAGTACATGAAAACCGTTTTCATGTACTCTTGATACAAGCCGTGTAGTCAGTCCTTTCAAAGTTCGAAAGTGTAAAGTAGTAACCGGGTCACAGGTGACCCAGTACTATATTTTCAACTGGGTCCAAGCGCCGCCCAACCGGGTGGATTACCCGGCTCACCCGGCGCTGGAGCAGACACTGATGTCTTGTAAGTCAATGTTTTACTATGATGACAGACCATTTTGATCTCTGCCAATTTCTGGTTTGAAGACATAAAAATGATGATTATTGATCCAGAAAGTCGTTAAAAAATCAGTGCAATCGATGACGAGTTTTCGGTTGTTTGTGAGGGGTTGAGAGGTGAGGTGCAATGAAATGTTGCTTTCGTTCACAGTGTAATGTTATTATGTTTGACAAGATGATATAATTCACAAAAGTGAACAGACTTGACGAGGAAAGATCAGAAGAGAAGCCATGATCTAGAAAAACAGTCAGAAGCACGAGCGTGCATGCATACAACATGTCTGTTACGGAAGGTCCAGACAAACTCTGCATGCCATGACTGCAAAAATCATCCAGCTCAAACAGCAAAGCCGCGACATGTGAACAGCACTCTCATTATCCGGAAATGCACTGGCAGTATCCACCGTAGCACACTGGATCGTCCCTGCTGATGCAGACGATACACGTGTAGGCTTGCTTTGATGTATCTTGTGATGGCCAGCATATCGCACGGACGAAACAAAAGTTTGTTCTACCTGCAAACAGGTTTCCCTCCAAATGGTGAAGGTGGTGCTCATCATATAATTGGTACGCACGAAGTTGCTTGTAGCACTGCAAGCTCTCCTTGTCATAATCTTTGTCCGGGGAATTTAACATATAGTGCTTATATTGGCTACAGTGGAGTCTCCAAACCTTGAGAAAAGTGCTTGACAGCCTCAGTAATGAAGAAAGGGATTTTAGTTAGGCGAGATAGAGACCAGCCAGATGTTATGTGTGAAAAGCTTGGTAGCTTCTTGTACGCTGCCATTCCTGGCTTTGGTAATGCAGGCTTGTCCGCCTCCTCGTCTGGAACCCCTTCGCCAGCAGTACTCAAGTGGAAATGTTCAGAGATGAGAAGGTAAAGATCACATCTGGATACACGCCCTTGGTAGGGAATACTGTCTTTGCAAAGTTGGCGCAGCCCTTGCATGCGTAAGCGCATGATATCCCCACAAGAGGTGGGAGCGCGCAGGACAGAGCTGGACAGAAGTGAATGTGTGGCCCCTTCAGTAGCAGCATCAGCTGCTGTTTGCACTGGCCCTGAGCGGCGGGTTTTACAGCAGGTCCAGGAGTGGTTTCAGCTACTAGGTATACTGCTTGCATTGGAGACGCCAGCGCCAGCCCGGCTGAAGCAGCGACACTGGCAGGAACATGGGCACTCTGCGCAGCACTGGTTTCGAGTGCCACTTGCACATCGAGCCCCTTGAAATAATCAGGAGCGACGTGCCTGGGCACTGAGATCGTAACCCTCTGCTCGCCTCCGCTGGAACAGAGCGACTTGATCCGCAGTCCAGGTTCTCTCACATTCTTTCTCCATTTCTCACGACTACTCTCGGCTGACCAACTCCAAATCGCTCTACAGTATCTCAAAGAATCAAACCCTCCAGCAACAAGGACAAAGCGAAACAAATGTCAGGAAAGCACAGCAGGAAGACGTGTCGTGGGCTGCGATGACAGCGCGAGCGCTCAGGCGTAGCCATCCAACGCCATTTTTGCACCATGGCAACACAACTTCGGCAATGAGTGTATAAGCTAACGTTAGCTTATACATGCTTCGCTGTGTGTCGCAATGTGAGCTTACGCCAACGAACAAAAAAACTGAGGAGCTGCACCAAGCCAAAAGAACACCAACTTGTATACATGTAATGTGCTCTTGATAAAACCACACACATGTACGGTAAGGCCACTCTAATAATATCCTGGGCCGGCACCCTGATCTGTCACCTGGGCAACCCACAGACACGGTGAGCCACATCCCAAATGATAAATCAATCTTGAAACTGTCTTCCTATCCCGTGGCAGTCAGCTGAACAAATTCACCACATAAGAACTGCTTAGTCCTCAGGTCCTCTATACATATTTTAACCACGGTTCAACACTAGTCATATTGAACAGCGTTATGCCATGCCAGGCGCAGACAAAACGCCCGCACGAGCGCGCATGCATGTACACATCCGGGTGACACACATTCGTGCGACTTTACATAGCCTGCACTGTCGTTCTATGTCATGGGAGTGAGTGCACACACATTATGTACATGTAGATTGCCTAATTTTGCATACGTAATAAAATCGTATATGTATACACACATGTGCGTGCACATGATACGCATGAGCGTGTGCCAATAGGGCCACATGCCAATTATCGGATTAGTCCGTGAAAGTTGCACGGCACGACAAACTTTCGGACAGTCTAAAGATATGACACGATGAATGTGGAATACCCACCAGTGTGTAAGACCATTTTCATATCTATTTCGCAGCGTCCCTGTTGATATTTGATGTTCTCACTCACAAATTATCAAATTCACCTCCAATGCCATCCAATCTGCGTTCCGCGATACATGTACAGTGAACGTTGTTGAGGAAAGCCATGCAGCAATAAAACAGTCGAGACTCCCAAGCAGAGGATACAATTCAACAGCGTATTGAAGTACGAATTGTTCTAAACAATTTTCAAGACACAATTACAAAATTTGAAGTGCGTCTTGAAACGTGTCTGAAGTGCTTCGATGTATTTACAATGTACCTTCGATCTCCCTGAATCGATCCATCCACAGCTACCTGACGAATTTGCCAGTCAGTGCGGGAGATGATCGAGCAAGTAATAGTTACATGTACATGTATATTTGAAGGTCGCGAGATGTCAGCCTAGTGGCTTTAGGGTAGAAATGCATACATTATAAATGACATGTACATGACTTGATTGCGACTACTAGTACTGTAGTACATGCATGTAAATCATGTAAGCCTCGTCATAAGCTATAATAATTATTAGATTTCCCATGCTTGTAACCTTGTTGTCAGCACTTCTAGAACTAGTACTTCTACCACTTCCTTTTAGTTATTCAATCACGTCGTTGATTCCGGACTATTCCAGACCTTCCACGTCATATGCTTGATGAGTAATGTTGCATAATAATAGATATCTCACCTTCTAGAATACCTCGCTTAGTCATTATGTTTATGTTACGCAATGCTCACTTCATCTACGTGTATAGCAATGATGATCTAGGTTTACCTTCTCCACTACTCTAGAACTTGTAGAAGGATGATTTCGTAATCCTTATCTTACCAACCTTAGTTCTCTACCTTCGCTATAAAAGCTGCTGCCTTTCTAGTTTCTTGCCGATTAAGACCAGCTCTCCGCAGATCAGTTCCCTGTGGATTAGTTTCAGGCTAGATTACAGTGTATTACCTGAGAACTCTTTCTCTCTCTCTCTGAATAAGTGTGCAATTCTGTATGATAACCATTATCCATTACTGCCACCGCTTGCTCTACCGACTGAGTGAAACCGGGACTTAACAGTGGCACTGGCAGGAAATCTACACAAGCGTATTCTGAAATAATTTTCTAAGACTCGGGCATGATTCAAGAGCGGACTTTGATTTCTCCCTTCTTATAGTACGGCCGCTAGGGTTTATCGGGTGTTAGCGGCCGTCGTGAGTTCCCTTCGGGAACGGATACGATAATTTACTTTTTTTTTTTTTTTTTTTAATAGTACGAGCACCAGTCGACATTGCATTCTTGGAAAATCTTCTGCGAGTGCTGCCTTCCCTTTCATAGAAAGAACGAGTGAAGAGGGACACTAGCAGCAGGTTCTAGCTAGGTCGCCAGAATTGCAGAAAAGCGAGAAGACGTTTCCTACAACTGTGATAACTCGCTCGGACAGCGTTCCGGTTAGTCTCGCCCATGGCTGTGTCGTCTCTAACCCTCGGAACGTTTTGTGACAAGTATAGTCACGGCTGGCATAACGCAACTTCACCCAGTCCTAACCCAACACACACATAACCAACTGATCTCGTCAGAGCAGAGAATATGTTCCTGTTTGGAAGAAGAGCACCGAAAGAACCTCTCGCTAAAAGCAGCAGCATGCCATGATATAACACATCGTAGAAAACAGCAAGCAGCGGCAGTAGCGATAGTACTTGCTAAACATGCAGCTGAACTGCAACTTTGTCCGCTGCGCGGAACGGCGATCGGACACGCACACGCACACACGCACACGCACAGGTCTGCGTGATCTAGAAGCGGCTGTCATCATAAGATACGCAAAGTGTGAAAGGGTATTAGAACGGGGCAAGCCTAGACCCGGCGTCTGGACCGCAACATGTACTTGATTAAAAGCATAGCCAGTCAATGGTCAAGCAGGTGCAATCACGCACATCCACACCTAGCTTACTACTACTATAAAGCGAATTCATAACTACAGGTATTGCACTTTCTACTGCAAATGCACAGTCGTGCGCTTCATCTATTGACAGCAGCCAAACCTATCATTTTACAGTCTCACTGGGTAGGTGACCTCGCCGGCACACACCGTATATTATATTGTATAATAACTGTTCCAACTACGGTCCGGAAGACACAGTGTGTCCACGTTCTACGCACAGTAGCTATCAGCAGTAGTTAAAAGTTACAAGCCCTCACTCTCGGGCTATGACATCTCCCCGCGCCTTCGAAAAGACTGCCACGTCCTCGTGGCGACAACATTCGGCTTACCGTCGTCTTCTCAACTGGGTTTGCATTCCAAAGTACTGCGGTGGCCGGACGGTCCTCCCAGCTCGAGTCTGAACCGCAATCTGGGCTGGTTGTGGCGGTGGCTGGTTGACTGGTAGCGGGATCTGCACAACTGGTTGGCCGCCAACACCGTCCACGCCGCCATACGTCTCATGCTGGGCATCCTCATCAGAATCCCAATACAACAAGTCTGTAGGGTCCGGCACATACACATCAGCCGGGGGCGTTTCGACAGACTCAGCATCTTCAGGTTCCTCCACCTCACTCACAGCGTGAAGATGGTTAGGCCTTACTCTACATCGTTTTAGCCTGTTCACGTGCACAATCTGCACCTTGACATTGGCCGCTCGTGTATCTCTCACCCGATACACTACGTCTGACAGCTTCGTTACTATTTCAAACGGCCCTTGCCAGAGCTTGGAGAACTTCGGAGTAGTCCCCACCGGAACTGCTGGTACCAACAACCATACCAGATCTCCTTCTGCGAATGAAGCGGGTACTGCTCCCGAATCATGCAAGTGAGCTTGATGCTTGTGCACGGTTTCC